AAGAGGAGGAGGATATGTAATGGTTGCTTAATTAGCTCCATAAACTTTTGTCTCCTTTGCCATAACACTAGAATAGTGAGCTGGTGCCTGGATACCATCACTGAACATTTTGATCAGATTCTACAGAAGATTCCTAATCAAAAGGGGGACACAGCAGAACAAAATTTCAAAATCTCATGGTATCTAGTCTTTCTGGAGCCATGGAGTGTGGGCAAACCCCTGAAACTATAGTCCTAATATAATCTTTAGACTTTAAACTAGTAATATCTCCTGATGTCTTCTTCAAACCAAGTGTAATTCTATACTTAATTAGTATAGAATGTCAGCCTTCAACATTGTTCTTTTAAGATTTAGCTGTATGGGATGAAATTGACAATAGCAATGAAAGAATATATAGGAACTCTAGGGGACAGTGAGTTTATGTTAATGAGAAGGGTTCACGTGTTAAAGAATGTCATAAATGTCACCAAATTGTACATGAAGAAACTATTGGTGTATGTTTTGCTTGGAATGTTCTCAAAAATAATTTTAAAAATTAATTATTTTAGAAAAAAGATCTTACAGTGTCCAGTATATGCAAAGGGGCTGATACAAGGTAAATTGTGAATGCCACAATAGACACAGAAATAATGTGTTATGGGGTTCAAGAGGGGAAGAAATCACTTTGATAGGGTATCTGGAAAGGCTGTATGGACTAGTTAGTGCTTAAGTTGGCCCTGGAGAGTTTGGTAAATGTTCACAAGAAATTTAAAATATTTTTGGTTAAAATTATAATTTATTGTGTAGTGTAATTCACTCTTTTGCTTTTGTAATTTCCTTAGACACATTGACACAAAATAAAATCTATCATGTGGCCAAACATTAAATTAGAAATTCTGAGTATCTTTTTTGGTAATCACTGTAAAATTTGGTGTCAAGTATATTAGTTGCAGAAAGCACATTAGGTATTCTCTACTCTCACACTATTTACATTTTTCAGTCCAGGTTGAGAGCATTTTCAGTTGCTAGTTTGAGTATGTGTCTTTAATTAAGACATGACTCTAACTCACTGCCATTGATTCGATTCTGATTCATAACAACCCCCTTTGGGTTTCCAAGGCAGTAAATCTTTACAGAAGTAGATTGCCCAGTCTCGTAGCAGATGATTATTGGGTGGAAATTCAGACGGCCTGTGTATTGATAATGATAGTTTCTATCTTAATAGTGGTAGTCTGTACCTTCGAATACCTATCTCATAGCAATGCCAGCACTTTACTGTGAAACCTCCCTTCCCCCTTTATCTCCACCCTTTATAGGAGATCTTAGGCACTACATAAACTGATCAAGAGAACTCTTTTGTTTTCTGATACTGGTCCTACTTTTTCACTCCAGTTTACATTCTGGATATATTTCTTGTCCCTCATATTCTGCTTTGTTTAATTTTTTAAATTTTATCACAAATCTATTACAATACCATTTCTAATTTATCTTGGTTATCAATATAATTGCACTTTTCACCTTAACATAGTTCATCTGTTCTTGGAAAAGTACTTGTTAGATGAGGAGATAAAGCACTTATGAGAAAATTTCTTAATCAGAATTTACTAGGATAATCCAATAACTATAATGACATTGAAAAGCTTTGAATTCCAACTGGCCTAGAGTTGCAATACACTGCAGTGAGGTCTGAATTTCAGAAAAAGTTTCAGAAGTTCCAAGTGGTAGGAAGAGTCTGATTTAGAGTACGCAGTGATTTGTTACACTTACGTATCATTACCAGTTCTGTAGTGCTGTTCGCATGTTTGTAATTCTTTATATTTTAATAGTTTTTATTTTTATAAAAATAGTTTATAAAAAAAAAAATAGTTTATATAAGCACTAAACCAGAAACCAAACCCCTTGCTGTCAAGTAGATGCTGACTCACCAGAACCCTACAGAAGAGAGTAGAACTGCCCCATAGGGTTTCTAAGGCTGAAATCTTTATGGAAACAGACTGTCACACCTTTCTCCTGCTGAGCGGCTGTTGGGTTTGAACCTCTGAACCTTCGGTTTGCAGTTGAGTGCTTAACCACTGCTTGACCAGGGCTCCAAATATAAGCACTAGCAAGTGTTTAAACATAAGTTTTATGTGTAACATTAGAAATAAAATTGAATCATATTCCTCCTAAACTATGGCACCTAGTCACCCTTTGGGTCTGGAATTAAAGTCACTCCTGTGGTTTCCAGCCAAACAAGAGACAAGGGTATGAGGTGAACATTTACACCAGGCAGGTGCACTTCTTAGAAAGATCAACTATGGGCGATCAGAAGGGCAGTATTTGCACAGGGAGACAGCTCAGAGGGCAGAAAAAAAAAAAAAAAAACACTAAAAAAATGAATCATATTAAAATGGAAACTTGCTTTCTTGCCGTATTTAGATTTTAACTAGAAAAAATGTTTAGACCTTAAGAATACAGATGAGATTACAGATATTAGATTTTTCACAAGTGTAAGGTAAGTTTAATTGAAGGAAAAGAATTAAAATAAATAAAATACAAAATAACAATCACAATCATTATTTTAAAAAATTTCACTAAGAGCACTGATTTTAGAATTGTTCAGATCCTTGACACAGTTTATCCCAGTAAACAAACACAATAAAATGCTATTGCCTAGATCACAGAATGTCATTTTCACCAACCTTTTCAAACACCATGAATAGAGAAAAACCTCCATAAATACTTATAATTCAAAATGCATTTCTGTCAATATGTCATTCATGGAGATATAAAATATTGCCATCAGCAGGAAACATAGTGTTCATACAGTATAGTGGTTTTCTGATATTTTTATCGTGTGCAGTTGGGATTAAAGTCTGGTGAAACAGTTTGACAATAGATGAATATAAATCCTTTGTGTTATAGACCTAATAAGACTGAATGGCTCCCATAAGTTCTCAGAGCTGGTAATAGGAGTTCAAGGACTAGTAACTAATAATAATTTATACAGATTGTAGTATGATTTCCAAATCCTTCTTCCTGAAAATGTAAATTAGCAACTTAAGCATGTTGCAGATACATATCTGAGATGGAAAATTACCTGGTTTCTTAATGAACACCTGTTTTGGATATCGAGTGCCGCTCTGACAAGAATATACCACAAATGGGGTGGCTTGAAGAAACAAGAGTTTATTCTCTTGCAGTTTGGGACTTTTAAGTCTGAGTTCAAAGTGCCAGGCTCTAGAGGCTTGGTAAAAGCCCCTCAACCTTGGGCTTCAGCTCTGCCTCCTGCTTCCAGCCCACTGAAGCTGGAGGCTTTTCTTCACTCAGCTGTTGGCTGCTGAGGCCGACAAGCCCAAGGTTGACAAGTAAAAAGGCACAGTCCCGATGTTACTAAACCACATGACAGGCCATTAATTCAAGCCCATTGAAAGTCCCAAGGTCAGCAGAGCATGGCAGGCTGCTGAACAACGACACGGCTACATGCAGAGTTCAAGTGTGCCATCAGCTAGAGACCATTCCCCATGCTGCCTCTTATATATGGGAAGCAAGCCGCATCCCTAAAGCAGCTAC